AAAAGTATGGGTCTAAGTAGCAATATTTTAGAAACATGTGCCTAGATTGCGCATCTTTTGTGTCCTTTCGGAAACAGAAACACAATTCGGACTCATTAGGGTCGACAGTTAGTTGACTCAATGTTTTCATATTGTACCTTACTAATCTGTTTCCGTTTTGTTACCAAATTGAGTCAAGTGGACGCAATAGTTCTAATTTAGCTCGATTTTAGATTAATGGCGTCTGATTTGTTTAAAAAAATGTGTGGGGCGGTCGCATTAAGTTCCAGTTTGTATCTAAACTGTGTCATGGTAGACAATTTGTATCGGCTCTACATTTAAATGTAAAGAGTACATGCATAATAGTTAATAGTTAATATTAAATTAAAATAAAAAATGATTAAAATTCAAAAAAATAAAGTGAAAACCGTGTTTAAATACAAAAGTATGCAAAAAAATCCAGCGTAGTTAAAATATGCTCTTTGATTATGAATTGTATGTGACATGTCAAACCAAGAGTTTGAATGTGTTCGAAATGTAACCAGTTGTACCACAGTCTGTAAGTTGTACACATTTTATATATGTTCTTTTTAAATAATGTATACATATAAATATATTTTTGTATTATGGACTTCGAAAAACCGACCAGGAAGGTAAAATCTTCTTTTGTTAGATTAATTTTAACAGAATAAATTTACCTTCCAAACCAATCTTAAACACAAAACATAAAGTGTCAGTGGCGTTGGTACATTTTTTTTTTACTTTGGAAATAAAGTAATATCAGATACAAAAAAAAAAACAGCTATACGGGTGAGTTAACATAAGTACTTGCCGTCGGACCAAAACTATAATTAATAATACATCTGACAAGTTAGCCATATATAGTCTGCAGCTTTTTCGCAAAAATCTTTCTGATTTTGTCAGAATTATAACGGGACACTGTAGACTCAACAAACACCTTCATACATTGTAAAAAGTTGACAGTCCTCTTTGTAGAGCCTGTTGTTGTGTATTGTGTAATTTTTGATGTACACTTAATGAGTTACACAACTCATCAATACTTTCGAAGGACCATTAAATGTGTGGAAAAAGACAAATTGATGCATATTATTTATGATTGCCCTGCTCTTCTCAAGTTTATAAAGTCCAATTAAGGAGAAGAATGTGTTAAGATAACCGATATTAGCTCCCGCCTCCCTCTTGAAATTTTTTCAGAAGTTTTGATGGCTGGAGATCCATAGAGATGAGCAATAATAATCAGGAAAAAAGACTTTTTGGAGGTAGTGCAAAGGGCCCAATCCAGATATGTTTGTTGAAAAAGTTCTCATATTTTTAATGGACACGTACCTACGCTTTTAAAGATTTATTAATCACAACTAATAATAAAAATCAATGTTATATTGTTTAAACATGGGTTTATATTAGACAACTGGGATAACTTTAAATGAAAAAATCTCTTTTATTTATAATTTTATTTATTAATTTTTTCATCTAAGTAGATAAGTATCAAAAACGTAGAATTTCCATTTTCATCCTTTCCCAGCTAAAAAGTCAAGGCTCAAATTAAGGTTACTTACGTTTTTTAATCAACACAACAGTATTATCACTACGTAATAAAACTTAATTTTACTAACTCGCGTTTTTACCTGATTTACAACGATTATTTCGAATAAAATAATTGAAATTTAATTACCCCACTAGACACAGCATTTGGGTAATTCCATTTATTAGCCACCAATGAGTGCACCTCATATACTATAATTTAATTTATTTTTTAACTGTAAATAGACAAGGTCGTAAGAAGTAAAGAAAACTCACCTTTTCTTTTCTCCCCCTTTCACCTATTTATACAGGGCTACGCAAAAGTTACTATGAAGACCTAACTTTAAAAATTGTACTTCATTTGCTAATAAACCTATCGACGTTAATCAAACTGTTAATTGTTAAGAAAATATTTCTCTTTTAAACCGTATAGGGCACATTTAGTTATTTATGCCCTAAATGGTCTTTGGGAATTTTTTTAAAAATGCAATTTTTTGGCAAAATTGTCTAATTTTATAAATTCATATATTCTTAGAACAACTTGCCAGCAAAATTTTTTTAATGTAGTTTGTTACCAAAGATCTTACACTATATAAAAGCAATAAAAATATTTAAAATTCATGTTTTTGAAAAATCACTATATTCAGCCATTTCAAGGTTTAAAAAGGCTATGTTTGAGTGAGTCGATTTAAACCAATTTATGCTTATTATCACAGGCACTTATTAATCTCCAGTAACCATGAATAAAATTATTGTGTATTTTTCTTTTAGCTGGGCTGTGGATGTATGTGACTAAATCCATATATCAACCATATATTTCGAAAAAGCGTATTACATCTTTAAAATAACTCGACAGCCTTAAATTGACTTCTAATTCATTCTGAATAAAAATTTAAAAAACCACGTACAGTGGCTTTGAAAATTAACTACCCATTTATTTATTTTTTAAATTAAGAAAACATAATCAAATGTACAAAAAATTAATTAAATTACTTAAATACATACTTTTAAAATTTAAATTAAACTGAACAAATCATATTCTTAACTTTTACAATCACCTAAAAAACTATTTACTATCTAAAAAGTTATATGAATCAGAAAATTTTCTTATGTGTATAATGTCTATCAAGAGGAATAAATTAACGACTTATGACGTTTAAATGGATCGCAGCAGCCTTCACCAAAAACTTTGGTAAAATAATGTAGATACTTTAATTTGTGATACCTACGTATGTACAAATATCGGTTACAGTTGCATTCACTCGCCATTCTATTATAGTATATTATGTATCAAGTTTGATAAACGCCACTTTATACACGAATTTAATTTAGGCACGAGCGAGCTTGCGAGCGAGTGCTTAAGTTAATGAGTGTATAGAAAAGTTTATAAACGAGGTGCATACTATACTTTTTCTACGACAAATACTTATTATTATCTTAAAATGATTTAAATCAAAAATTTGTATAGAGCGCCATCTATGAAACAACAGGGGAAACTGTCAAATGTCACATTTTTACATTTTATAAACACAATTATAAAGGTTATAAACCGAAATTATCTTGAAAATTAACAGTAAAGCCACAACTTGTAAATGTGTATTTAAAAGGTCACTTAGTGTCATGGAAACATGTACGATAAAGGGCGTTTTAAAGGTGGGAGTAGAAAAAATCCCTTTCCTCCTTAGTACGCGATACAATCTTGGAAAATCGCGAATAATATTTTTTATGGCATTTTTCATGAATTAATTTTCCAACGGAACAATCTATTTTTGGACACATATAACTTTTAAATGCCAGAAATTGGTGTGTAAACTGTTTTTAGAAAATTATGCACAATTTAATAATTATAATTTATTATTTAGTTTTTGTTTATTTAACGAAGTTTTTACAAAAGGTAAAAAATTAGTATGTTTACAGTAAGTAGATTAGTTTTTATTAATATGTAAAAATTTCAATATCTTAAAAATATTTTAATTATTAAAACAAAATCTAAAAAATTGTCTCTTGCGAATTATAACTCAATTCAAGTCTTGCTACCGAGTTTTTTTATAAAATATATATTTAATATTATATGATGGATTTAAATTAATATAATCCAAATTATAATAATAATCCATATTATGTATTTAGTCAGGTGGGCATATTGTGTATTTTACTTATAGCTGGGCTGTAGATGATACAGCCACAGCCCAGTTAAAAGCAGAATACACAATTATTTTATTCATGGTTATTTGAGGATAATAAGTGCATGTGATGATAAGCATAAATTGGTTTAAATCGACTCACTCAAACATAGCCTTTTTAAACCATGAAATGATTTTTCGAAAACATGAATTTTTATTATATTTTTTTGAACTCTTATAAGAGGCTATAGCCAGTATTATTTGAAAATGTTTTCATTGCTTTTATATAGTGTAAGATCTTTGGTAACAAACTCTATTAAAAAAAATTTTGCTGGCAAGTGGTTCTATGAATATATGAATTTATAAAATTAGACATTTTTGCCAAAAAGATTGCGTTTTTTTTTTAATTCCCAAAGACCATTTAGGGCATTAACAACTAAATGTGACCTATATGGTTGAAAAGATAAATATTTTCTTAACAATTAACAGTTTGTTTAATGTCGATAGCTTTATTAGCAAAATAAGTACAATTTTTTAAAGTTAGGTCTGCACAGTAACTTTTGCATAGCCCTGTATAAATAGGTGAAGGGGGGAGAAAAGGAAAGGTGAGTTTTTTACTTCTTGGGTCCTTGTCTATTTACAGTTAAAAAATAAATAAAATTAAAGAATATAAGGTGCACTCATTGGTGGCTAATTAATGGAATTACCCATTTGTTAAAATAGGTGTCCTCTACTGTTAAGGCTAAACAAGTCAGTAAAGTAGATATCGTTTATTATAATAATTGTTGACAATCTATGTCAACTTAACATATTGCTTCAGTTTTTTTGAATAATTCGCTGGTCTAAGGGTAAAACCCTTTTTTAAGCAAAAATTTATTTGAATTTTATAAACTTAATTTTTATTATAATAATTATAATTATTTCCCCGTATTTACTATAATTTTATGTATTAATTTTTTCATCTAAGTAGATATCAAAAACGTAGAATTTCCATTTTCATCCTTTCCCAACTAAAAAGACAAGGCTCAAATTAAGGGTACTTACGTTTTTTAATCAACACAACAGTATTTTTTGTCATTAATGTGCCTAATTTGACATTTAACAATAAGTTTGATGTTAAAAATTTATAATTTTAAGCTTGTGTATTTATATTTAGTACGTGTTTTAAAAATAATAAAGATATAAAGTAAAAGTACAAATTATTACAAATTTTATTCTGTAATTTAACTTACTTATTTGGTAAATAAAAATAAAGTTAAAACATTAGTACTACAATCCACACATTGTGATTAGTTAAAAATATCAAGGTAATAAAATATTTTAAAAATAATTTATAAAGTTATTTCAATTGCCGTTAAATGTTTAACCGATTGCCAAGCAACCAGTCTGTGTCACTTGGTTTTTAACAAGATTATATAGATCATAAAAAATAAAATAATGCTTCTCGGAAAATTTATGGTTACATTTATTTTGGTGCACACTTTATTTTCTGCTGATGTTCTTGTTTTATCCCAAAATGCAAATGAGACTACAACCACGACTTTAAATGTGTCAAAAAATCTTACAGATAATGTAAATAATACTTTATTTGTCCGAGAAGGTGATTTAGATATAAACAAGATCATGGACGAAACCAGGGAGCGAATAAAAGAAATAAATCATGGAGAAAATGTAACAGATAACCTTATTATTAAAGGAATAAAGTTTTTTTATAATGAAGTATTCAAAACGGAAAACGTGCATAATGTTAGTAAGAAGTGTTTTAATGCATTGAATAAGAGTTCTGTTTTCACAAAAACTCAACGTTAGTAAAGGTGTAGTATATTTAGTATTTGTAAATTATTTAGATTTTTAGTAATTGATGCTGGTAGCACTATTCCCGGAGGTGCATTGGCTCATAGTGTATTTAACTTAGGTTTCTATGATGAATGTCTAAAAACACATGAAGTAATAGAGGGTAAAGCATATCATGGAAAATATTGTATTGGACGAATATCATCGGAACTAAATATATTTCAGGTAACTGATTAGGTGTTTTTGATTTTATTTACAATAGTATATTTGTAATAATTTCTTAGAGAGTTTCAAAAGGTATAGACTTACTTAACTATGGATATTTGGAAGGGATATCTTTGTCATACTGTTTACTTGATCCTTGTAATGCTGAAGATTTTAACAAAATATTTTCTCATGGTATGTTTTACGATGAAGGATGTTATACCAATGCCCAACCGCCCAAATTTGACAAATATGATAAAGTAGCTATGTAAGAAAATAAAGAAAGCAACATTTTTTTATAAGTCTTAAGGCACTAGTTTAAAAAATATAAATCATTATTAAAAAAACGGGAAATAAGCTATTACCTAAGGGTTTTCAATAATTGACATTTGCACGTTGTAGTTATTTTTTCATGGATGTAGTTAAACATTCTGTAAAAAAAAACTAAAATTCTTAATAAAACCTAAAATATTTAATTATTCATTTATAAAAATTTATTGTGCCTCCTTGGTATTAATGTATACGCGCAGGCATATGTAAACGATCAAAACATTATTAAAACAATTAAAAAATAGTCTTTTGCCTTAAATACGATTTTTATCATCCATATTCGGATTCAATTACCCCTTTAATATATCCAAATTATCAATAAAAATGTTACAAATAGTATATTATTGAACGTCGTTCAGTTCAGGGTAATCTCCCTTAAGTTTGTACCAAACATTTTTATCAAGGTACTTTTACTCTAATAATGTTTTTATAGATGGAAGACTGGAATAACTTCACAAATTTCATGCTTGCATTAAAAAAAAAAGAATTTACCATTTTCAACATGTTCAACGAAATTCGTTTGGATTTTTTGCAGACTTTTTCCACAAAATTTTCATTCAATAGGTTTGTAAAATATAAAATTATAAAAATGCACTTAACGTTGATTAAGAAAACTTGCTGATCTCAGCCAATGAAATGATTTATCGTGCACAAATTGCATAGTTCTAGGTCCATTTGCCGAGAAAGAATTAAGATTACTTTTTGTAATACATCATTTATTTATAGAGAAACGTGATCAAATATGGAATAGTGCCCTAATATGGAATACCAGTAGGTAATTCTCTAAAACAAACATTTAAAAACAAAAAACAAGATTCTTTTATCTCATTCACTCGTTTTGTATCACTTATTTAATCTAGTAAGCCGGCATGCCGCATGCGTTTTGTTTTATTTTTTCGGCTATAGAAAATTTCTCAAGTAATACGTACATTACTTAAATGTAAATTTCGTTAGTTAGTTAAAAATAATAATGTAAATATTTCAAGTCAAGCATGTCGTATTAATGTTTGTTTGAACTTTTGTTGCTCCTGTGTAAATAAGGAAAAATTATTTATGTCATTAGACTGGGAAGTCAGTTTCTTATGCTCAGCTTAAAGTTTACAAGCCGACGCCTAGTGGATGCAACAATTAGGCGAAGCACAAAAAGACACTTTATAAGATAACTGGATAAAGGAGGTAGGACGGGAGGGATAGATATTTTGGTGTTTGGGGGACAATTACGCCAACGCGGTATCCCCCTAGACCAGGAAGTTAGTATCACTCCAATACTATTTTGATAATATTAATTAATATACAATATTATTACTATTATCACTCAAGTGACAACTAAATGTATAAACAAAGATTAGAAATATTCCCCAACTTATACTTGATTGGAAGTTAGGAAACAAAGCCTGTTAGATAGTTTATACATCTATAAGAATATAAATAAATCTTTAAATAGCGATAACGGACCGGTATACCGCGGTACCCAACTCTAGTTTGTACAAATTAGTTTGTTGATTTCTCTTTACGTGTTCACTGAGGCGATTACGGTCCACCGTTTAGTAAACTGTGTCCGTTTACGGTTCAGTCAACTTTAGCTTATAATTAGTATAAATATGGTAGATTTAGCATTTATATTTCTTCTTTTCTGAAGATCCCATTGGCAAAAAGTACTTTAAGCTTTTTGTGTTTTGTTTTGGTGTTGTGGAATATTTATAATATTTGTTTAACATATCACTAAAGTTGTCCTTTTTCAAGTATGACTAAATGTATGTTTGATTACAAATACAGTTACAGTATTTAATTATTAAAACAATTTTCTTTTTTGAAAAACAAACAATTTGGCAATATATGACCAACTAGTAATAATATCAAGGTCATCTGTTCACTTTAAGTAAAATATGGAATTTTTTTTATTTTTGTGGCCGATTTTTTGATAAAAATTATGTAATCTAAAGTATATTGTGTACCTGAAAATCTTAGTTATCCATTGCCTCCTATTAAAAATTCTTGATATTTTTAAAATGACTTAATTATTAAATAAATAAATAAACTAGATATAACATTTTAATATCCTTATTGCATTTTGCTCTAAATTGAAAATTGGGCCAATAATATATTTTTCTACTTTATGACTACTGTGTACATGCCACTGTTATTATTTTTTTTGGAAGCGAAACTTTTTATTCAGAGTATAAGTAGACAACCTAAGCGTATACACACACTGTATACCAAAGTATATGGTGGCTCGAATAAGTGCTTTAAGATTTAAAAAAATCATTTTTATACCTACAAAAGTAACTGTAATAAAAAAATATTCTTTTTTATTTTTTAGAATAGTTTTAATTATTTTTGGATTATTGACGGTCTTTTCAACAAGTTATGATATATATTTATACTATTCAGGAAAAGGTAAGTTTTTTTAAGTTTTAAAAGAAAGCTAACTTAATGGGCATTAAGACGTAAAATAAATAAATCCTATTTTAGAACCATATCATATCTTTCTTATTGCTTTTTCATTATGGACAAACGGAAGAAAAATCCTTTTTAACACATCAAGTACGAGCAAGTTTAGTTGTATTACCGGCGTAAAATCTTTGAGCATGGCTTGGGTCATAATTAGCCATATTTATGTACTTCACATAACCAATTCAGCCAACGTTAATCCCATGGATATTTTAGATTATGCTTTAAACCCGAAAAATTTATGGATGAACGGAAGTTCAGTGGCTTGCGATTCCTTTTTGGCAGTTGGGGGCCTACTGACTGTTCATTCGTTTTTAAAGGCTGCCAAAAAGGGAAATAAAATTAATGTTCCTAGCATGTATATACATAGATACTTAAGGTAAATAGCATATTACTAAATTGCGTTTTTTGACACTGCTTTAAATTTTGTATTTTATAGTATTTTAATAGATATTGTAGTTAAATATATTTTTATAAACTATCTCTAAAATACTTTGTTTGCATAAATCAGTGGATCTCTCATGAAAAGTGACTTTTACATAGTGGTCGTAGAAAAAATATTTTTAATTAATATCAAACTGTACTAATTTGGAGTTGTATCTGCTCCTGTTTACTGATTAACTTATGGTGTGTGATCCGGATAGTTGATTAATTATTTTGTGACCCCTTATAGTCAATACCGTACGGATCTTGCTGTTTTCTTTATAAAGATAAGTGCCGAATAATTCAGTAGTACTTCCATTACTGCCGTAGTAGTATTCATGCATCTTGTGGCCGCTGAGCACACCTGCCTTTGGATGCGTTCAAGGGTTTTTACCACTCAGGCCTGTTTGGTTTTTGTCTACCAGACCAGTGACCCATATGTCACCATAGGTCTTACCACTCCTGTGTAAAGCCATAGGGCCATTCTGGGGTTTATACCCCAGTTTTTCCTGTATGGACTTCTGGAATTACCTAGGCAGATGACAGATTTACGTGCAAGGGTATTTGGGTATTTGGTTGTAATCCACGTCAGATTTCGATCGGATAGGTATTTAGACTCGGTTGAGAAGGGTATTCCTACTTCTCCCAGTAACAGTGGTCTTAGTCGTGTTTTTCTGGTATAGTTAAAAATTGTGATTTTGAGCGGATTTATAGCTAAATCCTTGCTTCTGCATCAACTGTTTACGGTTTAAGACTATTGACCCCGACGACTTAAATGGTTGAAATTTTAATATCACCCATATAATTCTTGCCAGGTTGGCTTTTTTTGAGGCCAGCTTCCAGTCATCCGGAGGAGGCCTTCGTGAGCAGTTTCAAGATTTTTTCTGCTGAGTCTGTTGGCTATACAGACACGGTAGAGGAAATACATATAGGTTACTTATCTGACTTTCGGCGCCGTCCCTCGCCAGGACCTTATAGATTCTTATATTATCCTAACTGCTTCAGAATGTAAGGACCCAACAAAACCTCCTACAAGAATTTTCATTGTTGTATTGGGTCAGTTTTTTCCTGTAATAGGGCTGGTTTTATTCTCTAATTTTTGTAAGTTAAAGAAGACGACTGAAGGTAGCATTAGCAACACGCATGTAAAACTATTTTTGATTCACGATTATTGGTATTTGGTTTGCTTAGGATAAGCCAATGAACTTTTAATGAAATAAACTTTTTTCAGATTAACACCTGCATATGCAATATTAGTAATGTTAGAAGCAACTTTAATAAGGTACATGGGCAGTGGTCCCTTTTGGGCTGGCCAATTTATAGCTTCCAAACGTTGTCAAGAAGATTGGTGGGCCGCATTATTATATATACAAACATATGTACATCCAGATCAAATGGTAAATTATATTATATCATCAAATGACATAAATTAATTTAAATTAAATAAAACGTGTAAATAAATAATATAACATATTCAATACCCGAGTAGTAAAACGGCAATTAATTAATTTAAAGCTTTTAAAAATTATAAATTATTTTAGGAGCATTGTTTCAAATCAGTAACTTTAGGGTATTGATATGTATATCGCACATGGGCGACAACAGTGTCATAAGTCAAAAAACTGAATTTTGGGATTTTTAGTGCAATAAGTGTAAAATTGCTCATAGCTTATGCTATGTGACAGTAATTTTGTTAGCGTAGGTTGGTATAATTAAAGTTGTCAACAATAAAAGAATGAATAAGTGACGCTCCTCACCTTAAGGCAAACGGTCGTTTGTCTAGGGTCTTGTTTAACGAGTTCGTACTTTCATAGTGCTACCACAGCCATCATTGTTCAAAGTCATAAAATTAAATAATGATTATACACGTGATCTACCAGAACCAAGTGCAAAAAAGGTGCAGATTGTCCCAAAGTGAAAAATAATTTTTCCTGGATTACTAAACAGAGAAACAACAGGTGCTAATAGTTTCGCCGTAGAGGTTAAGGAATAATTTCACAACACTGCCTGTCAATGCACCTGAAGTCCAAGTCTGCATAAACCCGATACTACTAAAATTACATGACCTTAACAATACCCAAATACTGAATTTTAATGCGAAATTCGCAACATCAACAAACAAAGAACTCTACCAGGTAAAAATGAATTAGTCGCCAACAGTCCCATAAGAACAGCAAGCATATCCAAAGAACTCATAAACAAGGGCTTACATAAGCATTAATCACTCAAGTTCAGAGGCGGGATACGTATAAGAACTGAAAGGGGGTAAAATAACCCTGGGAGATCAGTGTAAGGCATTGCCGATGAGGCCAGCCATACGTTCCTCATACTCATACTCAACGATAAAAGAAAGAATAATTAAAAAATTGATCAACACATTTTCAGCAACACAGACATATCTCCAAATATCTTTTATCCAAAAAGAGTATTTTCTAAAGTCTAATTTTTAACTGGCTCAGAATCTTAGTGTGGTTATTCCTTTGTAAAGAAAATATTGTAAGTTAATATAATTTAACAAATATGTGAGAATTTTATTATTCAAAAATCTTTGACAATCATTTTCTCGGAATTAAGGTTTTACTACTTATGACACTGTTGTCGCCCATGTGCGATATGTTAAATACTGTTATAAAAAGAACATAAATTTAAATTAAAAAATATTACCTAAATGGTCACTGCGTTATATGTGACAAGCTTTCCATTTAGACAGCGCCAAAATGTACAAAACCCGTTCGTACGGCGCCTATTAAATCGGTAGCTTTAAGGATAGAACCTCTTTACAGATTCCTCCCCTACGTCACTCAATATTTCTGCAACCTTGCAGCAAGATTGCACAACAACGTTGATGCAATGTCTTTATGTCTGTTTGAGTGAACACAGTGTCGTAGAAACGGGGGTTGCTTTAAGCTTATTGTCCCATACAAACTTTGAGGTTAGGTTTTTATAATATTTGATACAATTTTTCGATTACACAGTTCGGCTACCATTAAAAAGGTGTACCTCTTAAACTTCGATAAAATAAGCCGTTTCCGAGATATTCGAGATTAAAATAATTTTTATATCGCATTATTTCAAAGGATTAAAAGGTATATATCATATATATGATAACAAATTTTATTTTTTAATTGAAAAAACTAAAAAGGGCATTCCATAAGCCTCGAGACTTTTCACCCAGTTTTTTCAATTAAAAAAATTTGTTATCATATACCTTTTAGTCCATTAATGCGATATAACAATTATTGTAATCTCGAATATCTCGGAAACTGTTTATTTTATCGAAGTTTGAGAGGTACACCTTTTTAATAGTAGCCGAAATGAGTAATCGAAAAATTGCATCAAATGGTATACAAACATAACCTCAAAGTTTGTATGGGACAATAAGCTTAAGCAACCCCTGTTTCTAAGACACTGCGTTCACTCGAACAATTGTAATTACATAATTATATATAATAATATAATATATATATACAGGGTGTTTCATAATATATGCGCAGGACTTCAGGATGTGATAGCTCAACCAAAAAGATGAAAAAGTCGCTATTAACTTACCCTCTAAAATGCACAATTTTCGAGATAGAGGGTGTTGAAATTTTAGGAAAAAAATCGTTTTTTTCGATTATCTTTTGTAAGCATTTTCTACTCATAATAGGCTATGTTTTGTGCCAGAAAAAAATTTTTTTTTACTCATAATTGGTGGAGATTTTGAAGGGGTAACGGGTGTTTTTCTCCTCAACTTCTACGCCCCTGAGAAAAGTACGGTTTTGAGAGGCCCATTCGAACCGCCAATGTTTTCTACAAAAAAAAGGTACTCTTGGTCATAAGCTCTAAAGTTGACCGTTTTCGAGAAAAATCAACTTTTATGTTTAAAAACATGGTAAATTTTTTGAAAAAATTTTTTTATTACTAATTAAACAAAATTTATTTTAACGTTAGAAAAAGTAACAAAACCAAACGATAATTGCAAAATAAAAAAAAAAATAAAAAATGATTTTTTACACAAATGCTGAAATGGGCGAAATGTTACCTTTACGGTTTGGAGAATTTAGCAAAGACAACTTTTGAATCATTTTTTATTTTGCAATTATGGTTTGGTTTTGTTACTTGTTCTAATGTTAAAATAAATTTTGTTTAATTAGTAAAAAAAATTTTTCTTTTTTAAATTGACCATGTTTTTAAACATAAAAGTTGATTTTTCTCGAAAACGGTCAAGTTTAGGGCTTATGACAGTACCTTTTTTGTGTAGAAAACATTGGCAGTTCGAATGGGCCTCTCAAAACCGTACTTTTTTCAGGGGCGTAGAAGTTAAGGAGAAAAACACCCGCTACCCCTTCAAAATCTCCACCAATTATAAGGAAAAAAATTTTTTTTCTGGCACAAAACATAGCTTATTTTGAGTAGAAAATGCTTACAAAAGCTGTTTTTTGTACGATAAACGGTTCCGGAGATATTCGAAAAAAACGAATTTTTTTCTTAAATTTCAACACCCTGTATCTCGAAAATTGTGCATTTTAGAGCGTAAGTTAATAGCGACTTTTTTCATCTTTTTGGATGAACTATCACATCCTGAAGTCCTGCGCATATATTATGAAACACCCTGTATATATATAATTATACATAATTGTAATTATAATTATGTGTGAATATGTGTTTTGGTAGTAAGTGACTGTTCGCAAAATATCACCTTTCCAAGTCTACCATAGTGGAAGTTATATAAAAAAAACTGATATGATAAGTAACACTTTATCACCCTGTATCTTTTAAACAAACCTAATTAGGAAAAATATTTATTTAGATTTTCGTCTTATTTTGACTTGCTTAATCTGCTCCTAAATTTATGCCACTAAGTTTAGGGACACCTTGTATATACATATAAAAAAAATGTAACAAAACTTTATAACATATATATGTATACATTAGGGTGGTCCCTATTTAGGGTGTGTTCGAATTTTTCTTCACGATAGTCCTAAATAGGTTCCAAATATATAAAAAAAATAATGTGCCAAATTGCAGCTCTTAATTTTAAAATTAAGCCGGCCCCCCCCGACAGCCAAAGTTTTAAATGGAAATAACATGGGAAAAGTTCTGTTATTACTTTGGATTTTTTTAAGTCATGAACTAATAAACGGATTATATAGAAGGATAAATATTCTTGTAACAAATTTAACGCTCTACAAAAAAGGTTTCTTGTGATTTTTTGCTAACTTGACTGGTTCAAAAGTTATTTGAGGTCAAAATCAAAGTTCTAGTAAATTCCATGGTTTTTTCATTTTTATCGTGGTTTGATGATTCAAAAATGTAAAAAGGGTTATAATTTATATTCTAGATGACTTTTCTTATCTTGCTCTAAAAAGAAAAATATTTATTGATTAAATATTATTAAAATTTCAATGGATTAAAAAAATACCAGATGGTAAGGCGGTCGCTTGGCATGCTAGAGATACCGGGTTCGATACTATTAGAAGTTGTCGAACTTTTTTTGTTTTTTTATTTTATAAATTTGATGTTTCTTTGTTAAAAAATGTTGGGTTGGGTTGGTTGGTTTGTTTTAGTTTTATCGTAACATAACAAATCTTAAAATTATGACGTCACTCGGGACTAAACTTAAGTCCCGCCTCGGGACGGGAGCCACAGCAATGTTTTTATTAAGAAGTTTGAATTTAAAACTAGAGTTTATCAAAATTTTTACCAATTAAAATCAAAATCTTTTAACAATACCTATGTCCAAAATATCTTGCGTATCCCAAAATTTAAAAAATCCTTAAAAGTTACGACAGTGCAAAAATAAAAAAAACAATTGATGTAACTAACTTTTTAGGGTCAAGATTATCCTGAAAGTTTTTTAAAAAAATAGAACCATCTAAAATATAAATTATAACCCTTTTTACATTTTTGAATCATTAAACCACGTTGAAAATGGAAAAAACATAGAATTGACTAGAACTTCCATTTTGACCTCGAATAACTTTTGAACCAGTTAAGTTAGCAAAAAATCACAGGAAACCTTTTTTGTAGAGCGTTAAATTTATTACAAGAATATTTATCCTTCTATATAATCCGTTTATAAGTTCATGACTTAAAAAAATTCAAAGTAATAACAGAACTTTTCCCATGTTATTTCCATTTAAAACTTTGGCTGTCGGGGGGGGGCGGCTAAATTTTAAAATTAAGAGCTGCAATTTGGCACATTATTTTCTTTATATATTTGGAACCTATTTAGGACTATCGTGAAGAAAAATTCGAACACACCCTAAATAAGGACCACCCTAGTATACATATATGTTGGTTTATATGAATTATAAGTCATATAGTTGCAGTATCACCTTCCACTAAATTTACCCCATACTTAATTGTCATAGTTACAATTATGTCAACAATTGTAAATTTAACAGCTTACTAGTTATATGTCCATGTAGTTAATTTGAAGAAAAATATTCACCTTTACTGGTTAATTATATAGTTTTAAGATTTCACAATCTTTAACAATACAAATATAACTTAAGAAGTTGCTTAAGTTTAATAGTAAAAGAATAAATAATTTTATTATTTTATTTTAGTGTGCTGCTCAAACATGGTATCTTTCTGTGGACATGCAACTTTTTTTCTTATCACCCCTGGTTATAATACCTATATTAAAATGGCCAAAACAAGGAACGATAGCTTTAGGAGTTTTATTGTTTCTAGGATTCTTAATCCCCTTCTTATTTGTATATCTACAAGATTTTCCGGTGGGATTTACTTTAGAATTGTAAGGGTGTAATTTTATGTTAAGTGCAATTATTTCATAAATTACACTGCCCCACATTGTGGGTGCGACGTACTAGAGAAGTCACATCCTATGGGTTTTGGGTCGCTGATCCCAAATCTGTGGCCCGCATTAGCCTGAGCTCATAATTTTTTGTACTATATTTGCATTATCAAATGTGTAAAAAAATGACCGCGTTTTTTATCTAGAACATAAATTCAGATTTAACGGCAAAAAATACATAAAAATGTTTTTTTGGTCGGCTTGTCCCAGTTTAGTCAATTCTATAGATTTTGTGTCGCTAAATCCGAATCCTAGGTCAGTACCACTTGACGCATCGTAGAGTGAGGGCGCGCGCGGGATCTCTTCTAAAAAGTAAAGCGCACCCAGTGTATTTAAGTTTATTAGGCAACTTAAGTGCAAAATCAGAGCCTAGGGCCACTCAGTGCCGTCGCCGCTTAAGTTCAAGTAACAAAAAGGAATTAATGTCGATTCTGCACGCGATAACGGATCCAAGTGCTAAAAGAAAAGAAATAATACTAAGTTTGTGTGAGAGTGAGTGAATAAGGTTGGGTCACTCCGATCACCTGTATGGTCATCACAATCGGCAGGGCCAAGGAGCGCGGTCTGTCCGCTAGGGATAGGAAGGCAGAATCTAACTAGTTCATCTAAGTAATTTTCCTAATTGCATGACCTAACAACAGTACCAATTCGATTCTGATATAATTTAATCGTTAAATGTTTATATTCGCAAATCGCGATGTTGCCAAGAATGTCATCTGGCTTCAGAAATTAAACAGGTCCCTACACTGAGAAAAGTGATCTAATTTAAGTTTTAATCAAATGAACAGTTTTGGGTACATTCAATACGCCCAATGTGCATAACTGTTTATTTTAAGTCGATGATACCTACAGTCTTTAAATTAAAGTGGTACAGTTTGAATATACATTTTTACTACTACAAAAATGTACAAAGAAATTCTTTGAAAGAATTCAATAAAGCAGTACAGACAGTAAATTATGAAAAATCTCTAATAAAAGCACTCTGAATGTTTGTCTAAGATTTCTTTTTAATCGTCTCAAAAACTAAATTTTAAATAATAAGAACATTTCCGTAAGTTAAAATAACAACCTCATTTTCTCAGAGTAAACAAACCATAAACAGCTTAACCAATTGAAAGGGGCGTAAGAGTAAATAAACCAAATCAAGCAAGATGACAAAAAATTTAGATCAATTAAGTGTTTTGTGTTAATATTTAATATTGTATGCATTTAAGACTAGCCAAATAAGCATAAGCTCAGGAATGCAAGAACATCACAGAAGATAAGAGCGACCCTCTCAATAGCCAATCCTGGCCATATGGCCGCATTCCAATTGCGTACACCACAGGGACGGCTTTATCTATTTTGTATATTAATATTTATATTTTTAAATTTAATTTGGAAAAAAAAGTAAGAATGCAAAGATATAAATGAATGAAATCGGTATAAACACTAATTTAACAATAAAATAAATAAAGAATATACAAGGTTGGTAGCCGGCACTCGGCAGGAGGAATATCCACCAAGGCAGAGGGCATTTACGGTGGGTCATGGCCGCCAACACTTCGGTACGGAAAACAAGACTCAGTATCACACAGGGGGGCAAACAATTCTAAAGGAACCTGATACTGATTCGGATAGAGATGTTTAGAAATACACCAACAAGGACAGGTTCTAGCAGCGTACTAACACTTCTCCCCCCATTCATGAATACCCATTGAATAGGGTTATTACTAAGTCCCAGGTTGAGGAGGATTCCGGATTGTACTTAGTTTTGGGTCAGTTCAATGTCCTTCAAAAGCCCTTCCTAAACTGGACGTATGGCCCGACCCGGCTGACAAAAATCCGGGAGCAGCCTTAACCTTTGACACTGTCATCCACGACCTCCTAGGGTGGATCTACCAGCAGGCGCGTAAAAACTTCTGATCCAACAAACACAGGTAATGCTGTGATTTGGCGGGATAGGCAGGAAAACGGAAAGGGGGTAAAATAACCCCGGGAGATTAGTGGAGGATAATATATTTGGGGCCTGCCATAGGTTCCCATACTCATACTCATACTCATACTAAATCCGAATCCTAGGTCGAAATTTTGTAATAAGCTTTTATTTTCTTCCTTACCTAAAAAAAATGTTAAATAAAAAAAAAATCAACAAAAATGCTTGTTTCTTAAGGTTAGGACACAAAATCCATAGGTTTCCCGGAACATCCAATTTTTTCGGGGGGTATTTCCAAGAAACCTTACCCCACCTTGACAAAAAATCAGATATGTTATTTAACAAAATACCAACAATAACTGAAGTCAAATACCTTAATTGCGACGTAATTTATTACCTTAAAATATTCGTACATTGTGATGCTAAGAAGCTTACATTAAGAATAAACACGGAAGAATTTCAATACTTGATAAAATGTTCAAATGTCGCACCCGTTACATTTTGAGAAAATTTTAGAAAATAAAGTATACAATTTTTGTGCATTTTAAATACGTGCTTGTTTAAGGCTACTTTTCAAGTCTTAAACAAAAAAAATATTACTATATGCTTTAATCCAAAATTTTACAGTATCAACTTTAGAAGCCAACTTGGTCGCATTTGCCGATTTTCTAAGGTCGCTCCCGTTACGCTATTCATGACGTTATAAAGGGTTTTCTATGCACGTTTTTATTGACATTTTGTTTGAGTTAAATACCTAATTTTTTATACTATTTTTTTATATTAAGGTATCTGAACAAACACGTTATTATCATGAAATATCGCAGTTTTAGTGTCGCACCTGCAATGGAAATACCCCGGGGAGGTTTTACTACAGCCCCTACCAAACAGGATTGTATTTTTGCCGCTGATTCCAAATTTATGGTCTAGATCGAAAAAACCACTCGAGTTATATTTTGACATTTTTTACAATGCACCGAAATAGTTATTTTTGTTACAAGTACCTAAAACGAAATTTTTCAAGAAAAATCATTGTTGTTTCCGGACATGGCGTTCGCCAAGTCCGGATTAGTAGATGAGTCCTGAAAAACTTTATTTAGGTACGTGTGACAAACATTATTTTTTGTCATACGCTTTTTACAATTCTTCAAAACTCTTAAATTTGCAAAGTTTCCGTAATTTTTAAATCTAAAAAGTTGGCTTAGAAATAATTGATATCGTAGCAACTAGTTTGTTGATTTGACAATTTTGTAATGTAATTCGAAATTTGTTAGAAAGTCAAATAAATTTTAAAATGTTACAAAATCCCGAATATATTGCTAATAAGGCCCAATAAATCGTGTTGGATTTACTTCCTGTGAAGTCTCGTGCCATTTACCATAAGGAATATGATGCTTTTATTGAATGGAAACACGAAAATGGCGTACTCGTTGTAAATTATTTACACGAAAAAGTAAGTAAACATTTAAAAACTTAGTTACGCAAGATGTATTTTAAGGATTTTAAATTAAAATAGGTACTCTCTTAAATTACAGTCACAAACGTTCAAATTTTGGAATAGTCCGTAAAGGTTGCCGGACGACTTTTAGGGACTAGGCCGAAAAAGAAGCATTTTACGGACTTTTTTACGGCTATTTTTTTAAGGTTAGAAAAAACCCTGAGGGTGATAACAGAATTCCGACCACGGATTCAGATTCAGCAACCAAAAATCCATAGGATGTGAATACTCTGGTCCGTCGAACATCCTACTTTTATTTTTGTGGGAACTGATCAAACCAATTAATGGCCTTTTTTTCAGGCATAAGAACAGAAAATACTTTCGAAAATACTATGTTCAAACCTATGTTAGATTTGGACCTTATGTAGTTGGAATGGTTTTTGGATTAATTATATTAAAGTTACAAACTGCAAAAGAAATTTTAAGGACTTCTGATAAAAATAAGAAATGGGTAAAATATACTAAACTTTCACGCTGTTTAATAAAGGCCGTAAAGCCTCACCTAATTTTAAGACGAAAATAGGTTTTATTTTTTTGTTTCTCTTCGTTTTAAAAACCTATTTTGACATTTTTGTTTAATAAATCAGCGAAAATATTTCATTTTCGTCCTAAAATCAGGCGAGTATTAATTTTCTTCATTTTGTCAAAAAGGTTGAGAAAAACAATTTGGTATAAAAAAAATGGAAATTTAATAAAAAAATTCAAATTGTATTGACACGGCATGTGGGGTTAAGTAACATTTTTTAATAATAAAGGACAAAAAATATTGTAAATGCAATACCTAATTTATTTTTAATTAAAATTACCTACAAAATGTTTGCCCTTTATTATAAAAGTTCTTACCTACTTAACCCCTTTCTCCACTTGCCCCATCAGTAATTATAATTAATTATTGAGTCGTTAAGAGTAACTAAATGAAATGTATGACAACCAGTAGTAAATTTTACGAACGATATATCGTATACGTATACGTTAAATTTTTTTTTCGAGTTATTGTGAAAGTTTGAGTCCATAATATTAATATTATTAAGAGGTCGCAATTTTTCATACATAAGAATATTTATTGCTTTTTTTATGGGTACTGATTTTTACATGAATTTTAAAATTCCAAAGTTAAAAGATCAAAATGTAAAACTATACCAATGTTTAGGGTATGATTTTAAGGAAACGGTTCATCTGACGAAAAATTTCATTTAACCTTTTTTGTAGAGCATTTCATTTTCTTAAATTAATTTTAAGTAAATTTTGTTAAACTCAATGGTTTGGGAGTTCTGAGACAAAAACTTGATGAGGGAAAAAAAAATAATATTGCGATAATTAATATTAATATTATGGACTTAAACTTTCACAATAATTTTTGTCGCCCCAAACAATATTTTCGATATACTTTTCAAAAAAAAAAATAGTTGATTTTTTTGGCTCAGTCTAATGTACAGATAGCAAAATCCTTTTGATGCCACATTTAAATAAGGGGCTACGTAATCCAAAATCACACATAACATTCGTGAAATCCCTTAATACTGTGATGCACACCATTTAAAATATATTACTAATTATAATATTTTTGTTTTAGGTGGCTTTTGGTGTTTGGATATGTGTACTGACAGGTCTTCTTGGATGCGTTTATTGTGGGGAGGGAATACTTTTATCGCAACAAGTCTACAGCGCATTGTCAAAAGCATTGTATGCAAGTTTCGTTAGAAATGGGTGGGCAATATGTGTTTGTACTATGATAACCTTATGCGTTTTGGGATATGGTGGTAACACTCATAACTCATAGTCATTAAATATCAAACTTTTTCATAAATTAAATTGTAGGTCCAATAAATGCGTTTTTGTCGCTTCCAATATTTCAGATAATATCTAGACTTACATACTCAATGTATCTTTTACATTTTATGTTTATTATAAACGCAATGATGAGAAGTTCAAGGGTACCATATTTTTTTTTAGAAGAAAACCTTTACTTTGAATTTTGGACATATTTTATGGTTACTTTTATTGCAGCATTTTTCTTTTCGGCTATATTTGAGTCGCCTGTTATCACAATAGAGAAAATAATATTTGGTAAGAATTTTATCAATCCAAATATTTGTAGGTACATTTTATTTTAATCATTTTTTTACATTTTAGGAGGTGTAACCAAGAAACCCTCTAATAAAGAACAAGACAACGTTATAAAAACTAAAATTTAGAGTATATTAATAATATATAATATACTATGTATAAATCAATCTTGTATGAATTTATTAAAATATATTTATTGAAAAAATAGTTATTAAAATTATTGTGTGTATTTAAAATAGTATATTATTATACGAGAGATAATGAGGATGAGGTTTGCGTTTCGAGCAGTCAGGCGAGAGACGTAAATCATGCGCATTATCTATTCTAAAGTCTAAAACTATGCGTTTTCTAATCCAATTAAGTAATTTTTAATAATAACAAAATTTATTATAAATTTATTATAAGGTCATAATATATATGGTATATGACCTCACTTTTTTTCGATTTTAATGATCATCATAGTCGCCCCTATATACAGTGTGTCCACGGATGGACTTAACTTTACTAAAAGAAAATACAATTGTAGATTTTGCAAAATTAAAATAAAGTTTTTTCATGTGAGTGTTACTAAGATATTTTTTATTAAAAATAAAATCAATTCAGGTCCTAACTTGAGTGGTCCTATTATTTTGTAGAAATTGACTGCTATCTCATTTTGTGATTATGAATCAAGGTTGTTGCTTTCAACTGACATGTCTACAATGTCTACAAGTATTTGTTAAAATTTGAAAAGTAATATCTTAAATTTTCAATATCAAATATCTTAGTATCAAAAACTCGTATGAAAAAATTCATTTGACTTTTTGATTTCTTCTTACCAGTTCTTTATATTAGCGCTTCAAAAAACAAAATTCAAAAAATTTAATTTTGAAAATCAGTATTTTTGCTCACCCTGTACAACAAAATGGATGTTTTTCAACGCGAATCGTATTTATATAACAGGCAAAAGAAATTAAAAAAAAATGACTTTTCCTCAAAAAATTTAAAATAAATATTTTTACAAGTAGTTAAGTCCATCCGTGGACACACTGTACATATAAAAAAATCTGACATCTTTTAAAAAGTTCCAAATCATAGTGAAATTTAAATCAGAAAATCACGAAAGTTTTCACTGGAAGTTTTGCAAACTTATCGGGGGTAGTTACACAAGTGCTTAAAAATTATCGATAATTTTATTTGAAAGCATATTGCCTAAGAAATGCATGAGTTCATTATCATATTTTGAAAATGACCGAATGCATTTTTTTACATGACTTCTTATGTGTGCCCTTGTTTTTGTTTTTTGTCTGTGCTTGCTTTTCCGATGGGAACTGTTTGCAACTAGTTTGCGAATTTCGTTTTAAAATTTAACATTATTATTATTATTTAGCAGTGGCGGCCCGTGCTAAAAATGTTTGCCTGTTCTGCAAAAAAAGTAAAGTAAAATATCAGTTTAAGTAGAAAAGCTTTATTTCATTTTTTAAACTGTAATACAATGCTCCTTTCCTTCTTTGCTGCAAACTTATCAATTAGTTTTTCGTTAAAGTTTTGTATTGATGCGATAAAAAAATTTTCAATAGATAACATCGAAAGAAATACAGTTTTCCCTGTTTTTATTTTTTACCCTCTAATGCCTTTTGCTTAAACACAATTGTGTTAACAGTCTGACTATTGAACAATGTTATTTATCGTACTGGAGAAAAAACAGAAATTTCTGTTGTATTTATACTCGAATACGTTACTGGTGGTCCAGAAAACAACCAATTGCATATGCTGATGTGTACACGATTATTATTAAAAATTCCATAATAATATTAATAATTTGGTTATTTATGAAATTAAACTTCATTATTAAATTTATAATTAATTGGCCCTTTTTGTCAGGCGTTAACTACACATTTACCCATCGGAATGCTTAAAAAATAACAAAATTCGGATATAAATTAATTAGTGATTTTTGAAAAAAAAAATGTGTCCCAAAAATATTATTATTATTATTATTCCTTTGTTTGTATCTGCAACAGATTTTAGAAAAATTGATTGCTTGGCATTAAAAATTATTAATTTTTTTAGTAAATTGCCATATTTTGCATAATATAATAATAATAATATAAAAAGAATTTGCATACTTATACTGGAAATGTGAGCGCTTCTAATAGCAATTCAGAAATTTTAGAATTATCAAAATCGTGCATCAAAAATTTTACTCTGCGGTGAGCGTGAATTATTGAAAATTTCTTTACATATATATCGAGTCAAATATAGTCAAAACATTAACAAAGTTTTCAAAAAAAAAATTAAGTCGCTAACTTCAACGGTTGTAGAAATATGAATTTTTATCCAAGAGTCCTGAAATGCGCGCTAGATTTGACTACCTATTAGGTTTAAAACCCCGTATAGCATATCGGCCCAATCAGATCAGGTAAGACGGAGTACGGACGTCGACACGGTTTCAAATATCCGAGCACTGATCTGCACTAATTGCAGCTCATTTCCACCGTAAATTGTGTAACAACGAACCTAACCGATGGCAGGCGGGGGCTAACGAAAGCTCGAGGTCGGCTTTAGCAGAACAAGGATGTTGAGCAGCTATGTAATGAACTTTACTAGATGTGCTTTGCTTTAATATCCATTTGGCTAACTGGATTCGCAAAACGCGCAGCAGGCTCTTTAAAAATCTAACCATAAACTTTTTATTATTTGCTGATTTGATATTATTTAATTATAATAATCAATTAAATCATTGTTAATAATAATAGCATTAGAAATTAACATTTTTACTTTTATTTTTGGTGGTTCTGCAGCTCTGCAGCACTTAAGGACAAACCGCCCTTGTTATTTAGGTATTATAAGGTCATACAATTTTGGTAAATTTTACTTATCCGGTTTATGCAGACTTGGAAATCGGGTTTATCAACAATTAAAATAATCTGTTTTTAAAATATTGCATGTTTTGATTTAGTATTTACTTGAACTTGATCCATCTAAAAATCCTCTTCTAGTAGATATATTTTACCTTAAAGAAATAATAATACAAAAAGATATAATTATCGATAATCAGAAGTCAAACATAAAATCCTTACAGGAACAAATTTTGTTATTAAATGTTATAAATAACTGCAAAAGTACGGCTAACAATAAAACCGAAAAAATAACTGAAAATCAACAAATAAAAAATAATACCGAAAAAAAAAAAAATTAATGGTAAAAATAAAGTCTCTGATACAAAAAATATAATACCTAAAACACTAGTAGCTAAGGCTATTCTGGAAGCAAAAACAAAAACTACTTGTGACCAACTCATCAACCTTACCAACCCAAGTCAATCTACCACTTCCAATGAAAATAAAAAGGAAAAGGAAAAAGAATCTACATGGACTGACGTTGTTAAAAAGGCGAAGGCAAAACCAAATAAAACACCAGGTATAGTGGGAAGTCTGAAAGATTCTTCCAACTGCTCCCTAAAAGTAGTTCCCAAAAAATCTTTTATATATGTATCCAGACTACAGCCTACTACGCAGTGTTCGGATATAGAAACATACCTTAAAGAACGTTTCCCGGAAATCCGTGTTAGGCAATATCTTTAAAGTTCCCAGAGCCCTATTCTTCTTTTAAATTGACAGTAGATTTATCGAATTTTGAAAAAGTTATGTGTGCTGAGTTGTGGCCTAATGGCACCTATTTGTCACGGTTTTTCACCCCAAACAAAAAGACAAGACTAAAACCTAGAAAGTAGTTACCCTAATTTTAATAATATTGATTGTTTATTACTAAATTGTCAATCACTAAATAATGAAACTGTTGATCTTATGGAGAGTGAATATGTTTATAAACTAGTAAATTTAAGAGTTATATGTCTTACTGAACTTGGTGTTCAGAAGATCAAATTAATCTTATAAATCTTACAAATTTTATTAATACCAGCAATTTTTGTAGGACAAGTTGTAGAGGTGGGGGTGTTTGCATTTGGACACATAAATGTTTAGATGTAACTCTTATTAATTTATCTGAGTTTTGTATTGAAAAACATTGTGAAGTATGTGGTATAGAATGCCAAAACACATCCATGGGTACAACAATAATTCTTTGTTGCTATAGGTCTCCTTCTGTAGGTAACCTAGAAAGCGCTGGAAAAGTTATATAAAATGAATATTACTTTTATTGTAATGGGCGATTTTAATGTAGATCCTTCCAGGGACACTGCTAACTTTCAAACTCTATGTAATGTTTTTCTTGGTTTCGGTCTAAAAAATATTATTACCAAAAATACTAGGAAAAATTATACATTAGATCTTGTATTTACAAACCTTTGCCAGATTGAATATTCTGTTCAAACTAACTTTTTATCAGACCATGATACGGTGCTACTTAACACAAAATGTTTTAAGATACAGAAAAATAATCTAATTCAAAAGAAAACCGCAGAATATTTAGTGAAGACAGAATAATTCAGTTTAAAAAGGATCTGGATAATGAAAGTTGGAATTCTGTATACCAGTGTGATTTTCAAAATTCTTTTAATGTTTTCCACGATACTCTTTTGTATTATTTCAATATTAACTTTCCCATAAAATCAAAGGAAATTGGTTTAAGCAATAAAAAGCATTGGATAACAAGTGGAATTAAACAATCCAGTTGTAATTTAAAAAGTGTATATGCCTTAAAATGCAAGTTTCCGGAGTTTATCGATTATTATAAAATTCTAAGAAAATAGCATACTAATCTAGAATTAAAAACAAAAAAACAATATTATCAAAATAAAATATTTAACTCTTCCAATCCAACAAAGACGGCCTGGAATGTTATTAAATCCATAAATAGTAATAATAATAATTCAAAAGCATTTGAAAATGTTAAACTTAATATTAATGACACTGATATAGATGATCCTTTGATTATATCGAATGAATTTAATAAGTATTTTCTAAACGCTCCTTTAAATATAGTTCATAAAATTTTAAATAATATAAATTCATTTTTTCCTTTTACTAATTGTGAAATGTTATCAATTCTAAAAAATAAACTTAAATCAAAGAAAACCGCGGGACCGGATGATATTCCTCCTTTTATTTTAAAATCCATTGCAGAAGAAATATTGTGTCCTCTTGACTATTTGGTTAACTTCTCATTTTCAGAAGGAGATTTCCCAGAGAGACTTAAAGTTAACAAGGTTGTTCCAATTTATAAAAAAAATGATAAACATCATATCGATAACTACAGACCAATATCTATATCCTGTAGCCTGTCAAAAATCTTTGAATACGCTTTCTTAGAGAGGCTAGGCCCATTTCTTGGTAAGTATAGAATCCTTAGTAATAACCAATTTGGTTTTCGTGCTCATTGCTCTACAGCATCAGCAATAAATGCATTTTATACACACCTGATTGACTCCCTTAAGGAAGAGTGTCCTGCTGGGACATTCTGTGATCTCAGTAAGGCATTTGATTGTGTTGATCATGGTAAACTAATGCATAAAATGGAGAGATATGGTATTAGAGGTCTGGCGTACGGCTGGCTAAATAGTTTTCTAAGTAACCGAATGCAATATGTATCAATTAAACACAATTCTCTACAAAATACAAACCCAATTAAATCCAACCTAAGTAGTGTATGCATGGGAGTACCACAGGGTTCAATTCTTGGCCCTGTGCTATTTATACTTTATGTAAATGACTTAGAGCTACACCTGAAGGAAAACTGTTTAACCACGCTATACGCCGATGATACAACACTTGTACTATCAAACAAAAGTAGGCATATTCTTGAGATGGAGTGCAACGCAAACCTGGGTTTGTTATCGTCCTGGTTTGCCTATAATTCACTCTATCTGAATAAAACCAAGACTAATTACGTGAGATTCTCTACTCAGGGTTATGGGCCTAGTGAATATCTCAATTTAAGTTTGTCGATTGATGGCCTAGATATATCCAGAAAAGACCACCTTACATCTTAGGTATTATTCTTGATGAGAAACTAAATTGGAAGCATCATTGTGACTTTTTGATTTCAAAGTTAAGTTCTTTAGTCTATATATTTAGAAATCTTAGACAAGTATTGGTTTTGGAACAATTACTTTCTTTATATCATGCCCAAGTAGACAGTCGACTGCGCTATGGTATTTGTTTTTGGGGATCATCTACCTGTGCTGAGCATGTATTTATTTCTCAAAAGCGAATTATCAGATGCATAGCTGGGGTTTTACATGATTATTCATGTCAAAGAATATTATATTCAAATTAGAACATAACTGTTTTTTTTATTTTGCAAAAAAATTTATATAATATTATATTTAAGTACTTACTATCTGTGATTTGTATATTTATATATAATTTATTTTTGCTTACTATCTGTGATTTGTATATTATTTATTTTTATATTTTTATATAATACATTAAATTTTATCTGAAATGTTTACTTTATCTATGTACCTGTTATGGAATGTATATTCTTTTGGGGTTTAATTAATAAATAAAAAAAAAGAAATTTATTTAAGAATTTTAATATATTGCCAGTCCCATGCGTTCAAATTTTAGAATTATGTATATACGTATTTTTAAATAAAAGTAAATTTTCAATGAACTGTGATGTCCATAATTTTAATACACGAAATAAAAATGATCTGAGAATACCTTTTAATCGACTAAATTTAGGTAAAAAGTCTCCAAACAGTTTGGGAATACATATATTTAATAGACTTCCTTTGGAAATTAAAAACTCAAAATCAGTTCACATTTTTAAAACACTTTTGAAGTCATATTTGTTGTCCAAATGTTTTTATAGCTTGAATGAAATTCTTATAATCTAGCTAAAGTTGTTAAAATTTATTTATGTACATTATGAACCATTTTGTAATTTCTTATGCATTATGTTTGTCTATTTCAAATTTACCTTGACGTTTTCTACACATGTATATGTCTTCTGAAATAAAGCCTATAATTATTATTATTATTATTATTATTATTACATTACTAATAATTATTATTAATATTTTTAAGAATATTTAATGTTCCACTTTTGTAAAAAATGTTTTAATACTGGTGAGTACCTTGAAAATAAGTCCAAAAATTGTAAATATAAATTTTAAAAACAAGTCAAAATTAAAAAAAAAAATTGTTATTAAATTTGCATAAAAAAGTATATGCTTTCAAAATTGAAATTTTATTTTATTTATACATGTAAAACTTAATTTAATCTTGGACTTCAGCCAACAAATATTGTGAATTTGTTCAATCTTATTATATATCTTATTATTATTTATCTTATTATATTTACGAACGATTGTTCACACATCGATTTTTTAGCTCAAAAATTTCCAAAATTTTTAAAAAATAATTTTTAAAAACAAAATACTTGTCATTTTTGTGTGTCATAAACGAAAACAAAATATTCCAGAGAAATTTATATTTTGACTAAAAAAACGTTCATGTATTTAAAGTTTTTTTCGGCATAAAATTAAAAAAAAAGGGATAACCCTAAAGGAATGTACCTTTCAAAACTGTCGATATCGCAATGTAGAAGGCGCTCCTTCCTCCGCCTTCTTCTGCGTCCCTTGAAGGACAATGCCAAATGGAAAACGGCGAGAGCGAATAATTGACCGGACGCGACGTACGACAGCCAGATTTTGTGGGGCAGCAGCAGGGGCACCGCTCCCATGGGCACGTACACCAACGACTTTTTCCATCCCTCAAACCACTGCACTATTGACCAAGAGCTCCACACGCGACTGTCGTTTCTGAAACAGAAGAAAGAAAAAAGTTTATTCAACGGAAATTGAGTTTGTTTTAATGTTTTCTTATCCCCTTTTTGATACCTGGAAAATGTTGAAAGAAATTTATGAGGCACGAACTTAAAAGAGTAAGAAGAACGTATTTTAGCTTTCTCTCCTTTTGTGTGTTTTAACGTATTTTAGCGACTACGCTAAAATACATTACTTAGAAAGCCCAGAAAAGTGTATTGGCTTTATGGGTTAATGAAATCATTTAATCGTTACAAAACAAGATAAAAGTATGTTTTATACATTAAACAGCAAATGTTAAAATTTCGTACATTTTTATAATAATACAGGGTAAGTTTTAAGTTGACGCGTTCCTTTTAACAGTGTGTAGAAATCAGCTAGACAAAATGTCACATTTGACAACAAACATAACCATTTAAATCAAATTGACATTTTGCAATAAAAAATGTCATTATTTACTTAAGTTGCAGCATTTACATTTTGACGACACTCTCCATAAATTAGTAACATTTCCACTAATTCATTATTGCTATAATTATGAACCATTTTTAACAATAATTGAGGCACAAAAAAACTGACATTATTCATTGCTAAATGTCATTTTGATTTAAATGGTTATGTTTGTTGTCATAGATGACATTTTGCATTGTTTATTTTTTCTCTTATTTTTGAGTTTTGATAAAAAAGTTACTTAAAATATTTATTTGTTTATCTGATTTCTATACGCTGTTAAAAGGAACGCGTCAACTTAAAACTCACCCTGTATATAATTTATAATTAATATTAATAATTTCTGGTCATTTTTTCTAGAACCAAAATATTAATGAAATGATTTTGGAAGAAAAATCCTAAAAACATGATCATTATAAGCAAAATTAATGTAAATTTATTAATTCCTTTTTTCTGATTATATTTTAATATAAATAAAAATTAATTTCAGAATAAAGGATTAAAATAAAGATGGAAAATGTAAATTCGGTATAAATAAAAAAAAATTAAAATTAATTTAAAAGGAAATTATATGTGTGCTCGTATTTTCCTCCAATTTAAATTAAAAGTTTTGACTACACCAAAACAACTCTACATGACCTTTATGGGTTAAATAGTGACATAATGAACACTGTCAATTTTTTTGTCTATTTCAATGCTACTAAAATCCCTTAGTGGGTTACTTTACACTATTAATGCACATTACATCACAATAAGAGTTAAATTACACTAATAGTGGCAAAATAGACTGAAAAAACTGGTAATAACCAAAATGCGTTTTGACTTTGTTGGTGGTACGGTACCACTGGTACCCCTACGCAGTGCATATCCGTAGATTGTGGCAAGTTTGGCATATTAGTTGATTGAGATTTTAATTTCGTTGAGTCTATAAGGACACATTATTATTTTTTGGTAAGTATTATACGAGCCCCTATATTATTTAAATTTAAAATTTAAATATTTTATTTTTTACACGCTTAAAAGTCACATATACTTTAATAAGATTTTATTTTAATAAAAATTGAACAAAAAAAATTAAACAAATACAAAATTAACAAATTATGTTGGCAACTTAAAGTTCGGACGATCAGTTATTTGAAGGTTTAGTACGTCGTTACATCTCCTTTGGCCTTTATAACAGCTCTTATCCTGGCTGGCATGGATTCCATTAAGGATATACAATAATCTGGTGTAAAAGATTTCTGACAAGTTTGTCTTCAAATCATTAGTGGTTCTTTGAGAATTATTTCTAAAATAACTTTTCATGCGGTGCCACAAGGTTTCAATAATATTGAAGAGGAGTTGAGGACTGGACTACTTGAAGGCCATGACAAAACTCTGATTTTTTTTACTGTGTAGGTACTCATACAACAAATGTTGGTAATCATATAACAAATTGCAAAAAATAGAGAAAAATTAACCTTGTATTGTATTATAACGTGGATGTCGTTTACATCTACAAAGGTTCGTAAAAGAGCGAACATTAAAATTGAACAGTAGACAGGTGGCAGGTTTAATGCATGTATACTGTTTTAAGATTTTGTTTTGTGTTTAGGCCGAGGCAAGGTTTTTAAAAAAAATAAGTTTTATAAAAGCTGCATTAGCAAAATTGGTCTTCAATAGGTCTAAAAATATATATATAAAGTAACCTAAACAAATTTTGATGTGTGAAGGAAAATAGGCAGTTTTGGCCTATTTTTAAAATTATTTTCTATATACACTCCCCGGCACAAAATTCCGCCACCCTAAAATTTGGCCAAGTTTGATGTTTTATAACTTTTTTATTTTTTATCCGATTTTCATTATTTTTCTACCAGTTTGTAGACACATTTATTGCTATTGTTTTTTATCAATTTAATAACTAACAATTTTTGTTTAGGCGATATTATACAGGGTGAATCAAAATGTTGTTTTTTGTCATAATTTTAAAACACCCTGTGGGAAAATTGAGGCCGTTAATTTTTTTTACAAACTGTTTGATGTAATCTTAGATGTATTACAAATATTTTGTTTTTTGATTCATTCCATTATTTTGTTTCTTGTACGAGCTGCAAGTTTTTCAATGAAACGCTAAAAATTTTACTGTATTCGTCCAGATATCGGTTAAAAATAATCGAAGAGGGCAATTGTTGTGATAGAATGTTTGACAGTTACATTATTAATTTGAGTTGTCATCATGGTAATCATGGTATTAACTACAGCAGATTTGGGTCGAATTGTTGCCTTAATAGAGGATGGCCGAAGTAAAAGTTATGTCGCTCGTACTTTGGGAATTCCGCGGTCTACAGTTCGAGATGCTTGGAATAGTTTTATATATACTGGAAACTTTTTTAGGCGACAAGGCTCTGGAAGAAGGAGATTAACTACTGCAGCTGATGATCACTTCGTTGTTGTTAGTTCTTTAAGAGATCGACGATCTACTGCTGTATCTCTAAAAAATAATTTGCAAATGGTTCGTCAAGTAAATCTGTGGGTAAAAGGCATAAGGGGATAAGTCAAAAAGATCAATTTTTCAATGGAGCCTTAAACGTATTCACATTAATACAGGAAATATAATTATGGTTAGCGGGTATGCCCTTTTGTTAGCACATGCCATATGCTAACAAAAGCGTATACCCGCTAAACATAAATATATTTCCTGAATTAATGCGAACACGTTAAAGGCTATATTGAAAATTTGCTTTTTTTTACTTATCCCCTTATGCCTTTTACCCACAGAAATGTAAGTGAAATAACAGTACGTAGAAGATTGGCAGAAGCAGGGCTTCATTCACGGAGGCCAGCAATATGTCCACAATTACTTCCTCGTCATCGACAACAGCGACTGAGATTTGCAAGAACCCATTCTACTGGTCCGTAGAACAGTGGGGAAACGTACTATTCACAGATGAATCCAGGGTTTGTTTAAGGTCGCCGGATGGTCGTGAGCGGGTATATAGACGCAAAAATGAAAGATTTGCCGACTGCACCATTTCATATCATGGCGGTTCAGTGATGGTTTGGGCGGGTATTTCTAGCGAAGCACGTACCGATCTTATATTTGTTAATAATGGAACTCTAACCGCCCACCGTTAAATTGAGGATATTCTTCAAGAAGTTGTCGTTCCATTTGCTCCTTTCATTGGGAACGAATTTATATTAATGCATGATAATGCTAGACCTCACGTTGCACGGGTAGTGAGCGAATATCTGGATGAGGTTGGACTTCCAAGATTGGAATGGCCAGCATGTAGCCCGGATCTCAACCCTATCGAACATTTGTGGGATGAACTTAAAAAGGCTGTTCGACGTCGCCCATTACAACCACAATCTTTGCAAGAGTTACGGCTGGCGCTAAGAGAAGAATATCTGGGTATTCCTCAAGAAAAAATAAGTAACCTTATTCATTCAAAGCCAAGAAGATTGCAAGCTGTCATTACTGCGAGAGGTGGAAATACGCCCTATTAAAATGTATTTGTTATTTAATTTTATTATAAAGTGTTTATTTTTTTCCAATAACAAATAACGTTCAAATCAATTCCAATAACAAATAACGTTCATTGAAAAACTTGCAGGTCGTACAATAAATGAAATAATGGGATGAATCAAAAAACAAAATGTTTGGAATACATCTAAGATTAAATCAAACAGTTTGTAAAAAAAATTAACCGCCTCAATTTTCCCACAGGGTATTATAAAGTTATTACAAAAACAACATTTTGATTTACCCCTGTAAAATATGGCCCAAACAAAAATTTTAAGTTATTAAAATATAAAAAACAATTACAATAAATTGATCTTCAAACTAGTAAAAAAATCATGAAGATCGGATGAAAAATAAAAAAGTTATAAAACATTAAACTTGGCCAAATTTTAGGGTGGCGGAATTTTGAGCCGGGGAGTGTATATAGAAAATAATTTTAAAAATAGGCCAAAACTGCCTATTTTCCTTCACACATCAAAATTTGTTTAGGTTACTTTATATATATATATTTAGACTTATTGAAGACCAATTTTGCTAATGCAGCTTTTATAAAACTTATTTTTTTTAGGGTGGCGGAATTTTGTGCCCGGGAGTGTATATATCTTCTTTTTATCTATTTTCATGGAGGTCTTAACAAAAACGTAGATATTAGTAAATTTTAAGAAAATTTTTTGGAAATGAAGAAACTATTAAAGAAAAAAAACATTTACCACCAATTCCATTGAAGTTACTTAATCAAAATCAAAACAATAGTTTATTACAAGGGCCGAAAGTTGAATTTTCGGCCCTGCGCGTCATGATGCCCGAGGCGAAGTCTTACTTTCGTCCCTAATAGCAGGGACGAAAGTTTACCTCGGTCGAAAGTACGTACTTTTGTCCCTAATAGCACAGGGAGTAAATGTTAAACTTTCGTCCCTGCTATTAGGGACGAAAGTAAGTACTTTCGAAGAAGGTATGAAGAAAAAATATTTTTAAACTAGTGCTTAAAAATGCCACTTTTACGCCGTAAAAGTATCTTATTTAGCAATGACAATGACAAAAAAAA